TGTGTAAAAAAATATGTCACAAACGAAAAGATCGACGAATGGCGACAGAATAACAAGCCCTGCCATCAAAAGTGGGTTGAGATTTTTGAACATTTTACAGCAAAAAATTGCTTTCAAAAACATTTGTAAAATCGTAGAATTTTCTTTGTCTCCCTGGATCTAATGCATCGTCGAACGAATATTTTCATTGGTGAATAATATGTGGACGAATGAAAAAACCCAGTTAAAAGTAAGCACATTATTTCTGTCAAATACAACTTTCAAATGAACTGTATAGAATTTTATGACTTTTTAAAGCGTGAACCAGTGCTATTAAAAAAAATTAATTCTACTGAAAAGTATCAAAATTAATGTTATTTGAATTTTTACAATGTGTATGTATGTGTAATAAATGTTATAAACTTATGAATTTTATAAGATTTTTTAATTTTCTTCGATATGTCCTTTATTTTCCCCCAAAAAATATGGTCACCGTATATATGCTCAACATTTTGAATCCTTCAGTATGAGAGAAAAGCTAAAGTACATAAAATTAATTGCCCATTGAGACCTCTGATCAACAAGAGGGAGATATCTCCTCTATTGGTTTGAGAAAACATTTAGATTTTCTGCAAAAATTATTAAGCAAATTGCATATTGATGTTAATTTAGAAAATTGATAAAAATAAGCTACAAATATTATTATACCAGGGGAGTAGAAAGTATCTGATATGACAAACAAAACTTAGGAGAAATTTACAATAGAAAAAGTAATAATTATAGTAATAGCCTCAAAAACATTACAATAAAATGGAGTAGCATCTCAACTAAGCCTGTAGACATTAATTGAGACTTTTCACTAGCCAGATGATTTGGAACATGGATTTGCTAGTGCCAGTGACTGGCACTAGCAAATTCATCCATATGGCCTAAGCCTGGTCTAAGATATCGATAGACTACTATTACAACATGGATGACATATTGATTTTGATCTGAGGTGATCAAGGTGATTCAACTGTTTTCCAATGCATACATTACCTCGATCACCTCACCATCATTACATTGCACTAGATAAATGCTTTATGAAGGTATGAAAGTACACATTACAAAGCATTTATCTGGTGTTAACATTCATCAAGTCTATGATTGAAAGGAACAAGATTATTAAAATAATATCTTTGTTGGGCTTATTCTCAGTTTATCACAAATAAGTGACTTGTCTGATCCTTGTTCCAGTATTATCCTTATCTTCAAGCAATTTATCCTTTTGATTAGAACAGTTCATATTTAGCTCTTGTTTTATCTGAAGAGTAGAAAGTATAGTTTATAAGTAAACATGTAGAATGCAAAAGCAGTAATATTGAATTTAGTAATGTTTTAAAAAAACTTAATGTAGAAAGAAACAAACTTTTTAAAGAAAAACTTTGTAGAAAATAGCCAAAATTATGAATATGCAGCAATGACAATAAATTTACAAAGATTGCTGATTTATAAATTTTACAACAAGAAACCTAAGAATACACACAACTGTATCATCATGACTTAATTTATTCAGAATTTTCTTTTGAGCTAAAACTGATATTTTGTCAATTTATGTAACATTAAAGCAGTAATAATAATTTATTAAAATTCTAGAACATTGTATATTGATTTTTAAATATGAATGTATTGTATTGTTATTAAAAACACTCAAAAATATTAATTTTTTGAAAAATTATTGGAAGTAAGGTAAATATTGTTTGTACTGTACATACTACTAGTTTTATAATCATATCTTTCTTACCATTAAAATTTCAGCAATGTTTGTTTAATAAAAATAACTGCAAAGTATACATAACTTCTCATATATCTTCTAGAAATATACTTAGTTATGAAACCTTAACTTATAAACTTATTTTACTATCAGCATTTATATATAATTATTGCTTAGAATGCTTCTCTTGCTTTATTTCTGTAACAAATTCATATTGTTTTATTTGCATATGTAATAATTATAGTCTGTTTTTGTATGAACATTATTCCTGTATAATAATGTAGAAATATATTTGAAAATAACCAAATTATCAAATATCTTAAATAATTCAGTAGTTTAGTGTACTAATATTTACATTTAAAAAGCTAGTAATGAAAAATTTTATTGTGTAGATTTGAATTTCTTTTTTTTATCTGTGTCTTATTAAAATTATATTGCTACCTTTAAAAAGAATGTATAATTTCAGTAAGTATGCAAACTTTCTGAAAATTAAATAATGTGCCTGTATATCTTTTATTATTTAATTTTTTATTAAATTAGTGATTCAAATGAATTTCTTTCATAATATTTGTCATTATTTAAAATTGTTTTTAATTTGTAATTTGGTTTTCTTGTTTTTACATTATAAAATTTTTAAATTTTATAAATTGTATTCATTACTTAAATGCAGGCAACAAATTCTGAAAAACTGACATCATTTATAAATACTATTAATGGAAGAGAAGGCACTGGGTAAGTAATTTTACTTAATTTTGAAATTCATTATTTTGGTCTATAATAATTACTTTGGTTTTAGTTCACATCTTGTAACAGTTCCTCCTGGACCTCATCTGTCAGATGCTTTAATAAGCAGCCCTGTAATTCAAGGTGAGGATGGATCTGGTGGAATTGGATTAGGCAGTACAGGCTTTGAATTTGGTGTAGATCCTAATGAAGATCCTGAATTAGCACTGGTTTGTTAATTTTTAATATATATTTAATTTTATATGTACATAGTTTTAAACTAATGCATGTTTGTATTTTGAAGATTCTTGTTCTGATTCAATGGATAAGAATAAATATTAGTTATAATAATAACAATAACCTTATATAAAAGTTTCATAACAACTTAATATGAAGTAATTATGATATTTAGTTTAAATAACTGATTTTGTGGTTACTTATACAATAGTTGTTCTCATCTATCAGTCATTAAAGTAATTTTCATTGTTTTGAATTAGATACATAAATGTTATAGATAAAGAAGTTTTTATAAATGAAGGAAGATTATAGAATACCATCATTTGTCAGTTAATTAATGTAAATATAAACAACTAAAATTAATGTAATGCACTTTTGTAGGCACTTAGAGTATCCATGGAAGAGCAAAGACAACGTCAAGAAGATGAAGCTAGAAGAGCTGCAGCTCAATCTTCCAATGGTGGACAAAAGGCTAATGATACTACAAATGTTACTCCAACTCCAGCCCAACATGGTATATCTAATTATTTTTAAATAAATTTTAATTGAAACTGATCTGATTTAATGAAAGTATTTTTATATTTAGGTTCTAGTGAAGAAGCTTTATTGGAAAAAGCTCTTCAGATGTCATTAGAATCAGATAACACTCAGTCTGGAGTAGGAACTTCTGCATCCACCATTCCAGATTTTGCTATGATGACAGAAGATGAACAAATTGCTTATGCTATGCAAATGTCTTTGCAGCATGCTCGTATGTATATATAGTATNTGAAAAATTCTTTCGAAACGAATGGTTAGTTTGACGATTTTTACCTGAAGAAGGACCCAGGAGTTGTCTGAAAACGTTAGTAATGTTAAATTTATTCACATCAGTTAAAGGTTTCGGAGGTACGTAGTATTTAATAAACTCCGGTGTGTAATTGTATGTTATTATTGAGATTTTATACTGGTAATACAGAAATTTACTTTAATGTGCATGAAATAATAATTGTAATTTATGTAAATAATTTGATCTTTAATCATTATCTAAATTAAAATAAATTGTATATTAAATGTAACAGGTATTTATTCATGTGAATTATGATATTTGGGGAAAAGTTGTGACTTTTTTAAAATTGATATATGATATACTCTGTGTGAGAGAGATTTATTAATCTATGTTTGTATATATGTGTAATCTCTCATTAATGAATGAAATTAGTTAGAGAAATTTGTTATATACGGTAGAGCGTCGATTATCCGAAACAATTCAGGACTGGGGTGGTTTGGATAACTGATCATTTTAAAAAAAATATATATTAAACACAAAACTGTACTGTATATAATTTGTATCACGTGTCTTACAAATACATACCTTACATAATGTAATATGTTAAATTAGGCCTACAGTTCAGTTTGGCAGGGAGGGGAAGAGTGATGCAACGCCAGAGCCCTAACGGAAATTTGAATTTGCTGACTGGAACGCTTTCGGTTAACTGATGTTTCGGTTGATCAGTATTCGGATAATTGATGCTCTACTGTAATTATAAACAGTAATGTAATTAACATTTCAAATTATACCTGTTGGATTTTTTTTTTATAATGGTTCATTTTTTCCAGTTATTGAAATTGGCCAAGAGATTGAAGAAAGAAAAAGTTAATGTTGATGTTGTTAACTTCGGAGAGGATGTAAGTTTCTCTCCAGATGACCTTGTAAGTTTCAAGTCTTCTGTCACAAAACTTATGAACCTTATAAATTCTACTACAGTTTTATTAAATATGTCAAAAATTATTATGTAAAGATGTTGATATTAAGGATTTTTCATCTGATTAATATTCATTATTTTATAAATGGAAAGAATGAAAGCTTACTAATTCAAAATTAAAACAGTTTTATTGTAATAGATTTATGTGGAAAATTAAAATTAACATTGTAATTTGTTTTAACCTTTTGAAATTTGTCATTAAGAAAGAATTCCTAAATTACTGTTTTAAATTGTGATAATTTTTTTAACATTTTATATTTTGTGCATGCAAGAAGATTTTTATTTCTTCTCAGTTTGACAAAAAAAAATCTGTTTTAATGGTCATATAAATCTTGTTTCTGGTTTGTCAAAAACACTGAATGAATCAAATAAATTTTGATCTTATACATAAACTTTTACAATAAGCTTGTTTTAATTCAGCAGATAGTAAGTTTGTAATTTGTCAAATACTGATTTATTTTATCAAATAAATAAGGTTCATATGAAAAGGTAACATTTCTATTTTTTAAACTATATTTTCTTTTCATTCATGAAGAACAATGACTTCATATATATATATGTCTGTAAAATAGTTACATATATATATATATATATATATAGTATATATAAAAATTACCATTTATATTTTCATTACATCCAGTCATCAATTAATAAATGATTGATAAAATAATGTTTCATTCATATAAAATTATTCATTTTGTGTGTGTTTATTTACTTGTTAATAACAAATTTGCTGAAATTTCTTTTGACAAAATTTGAAATTCTGTGAACCAATTTCAGAGACATGATTTTTTTAAATTCCTGTTTGTTAAATCTAGCTATCAACTTACTATGCTGCACTTTAAACTTTATTGTTAAGGTGCAGATTATTTGTCTTTTGAACACTGTCTAAATGAACTTTCAAGAAACTTTACCTATTACATTAATACCATTACTTCTAGTTTTAAATGTCGGTGAACCATTGGCGTGAATTGTTTTGTTACATTGCAAAACTGACAGAGCATGAACATAGGAAAGTGTGGAATTTCAAAGATGGAAAAGGTGTTTTTATGAAATTAATTCAGAACTATCCAAACATTCAAGATAAACAATAAATAGTTAAATATAATTTATGCATCAGAAACAGATTGTATTTTATCAAATAGAAAATTTCAAACATAAAGTAGTGTCTTAATTTTGTTTCTATTTACATTTTACACACAAAAAAGAAAGTTTACATTTGTTCTAAATTATAAAAGTCACTATTTAATCAGTGATGATTTGGGTTGTTTTTATTGCTGATAAATAGAAGCCTCTTCTCTTTACTTGGTTCAGAAAGTTTTTTTTGCTAATTTATTTATTATTCTCAATTTAATTAGCTCAATTATCTGCATTCAACCATATTCAACAAAAAGCAATATGAATCTGTTTCACATTTGTGTGTCAGAGTTAATTTATGATTACCCTATAAATGTTATAAATAATAAAATTAACATTACTATTAAAAATATGGTAGTTTTAAAGGTTTTTCCCCAAGAAAAATTTCTTAGTTTAACTTTGAGTTATTGTTTATTCCATTTTAATCATCATCCAATTGATAAACATTGTTCCACAGTTAATAATTGACTTTTTCTTCTCAAAGATTTAATTTTGTGTCTAATTTGATTCAAAATCTACAAAATTCAGATTTAGAAAATGTGTATTGAATTTGAAACTTTTAATCAAAACATAATTCTAATTTATATTTAATCTTATTATTATTGTTTTCTTTTGTAATTGTCCAGAAGAATATTCTCTCACTAGCACATTAATAACTAAAACATGAATGATATCCATTCTTAATCAAATCATTTCCAAAAAAAAAGAAAGCCACAGTCTAAACCTGTCATTTGGCAGATCTAGGAAGTTGGTTTAAAAACCAGTGATCTTTTGAGTGGAAATCTTTGAGAAATGATGTTTTTGTAATGGGCATTTTTATTAGATATGGTTTTTAAGAAGTTTTGAACTGCAGTTGAAGTATACATTTTGTCTTTGCAATTGGCTCAAAGTGACTACAAGCAAGAACACAGTCTCAAAGGAAAAAGATACACATGTTTATTGCTAAATCAGAATTGACATTTTTCTAAGAAATAAAAACTGTAATATTAAATTGCCTATTTTAACATAATAATGCTTAATTTATAAGCAAAAAGTAATCTTTGAGAAATAAATGATAGTATATAGTTTGTGATCAGTTTTTTTACTATCATCTTTTTATAGTAGAAATACAATTACTAATTGATTATTCAGTTTCTTTCATGATGATGATGTGATAGAGATTACTTCATATTTTATTTATACAGTCAGCATTTGTATAAAAATTTTTAAGATATATGAATTTTTACAGATGTTCTTATTAATATCAATAATTTTTTCAAGTTAGTGCAAATTAATAAATCTAAAATTTATCAAAATTTCAAGCCCTTAAAATAAGTGTTCAAGGTGTGTTGTTTGTTTAATGTAATTAAATATATTCTTTTTTCAGATGAAAGTGGGTCATCTACAGCAAACGATGAGCCTACCCCAATGGATGTAGATTCACAAGGAAGGGTAATGGTTTTTATATTGATTATATTGTAGATAATATTCTTTTTATTAAAATGTTTTTATATTTGTAGGAAGAAATGGATGATTATAGTGATGTAATGAGAGATCCTGAATTTTTACAAAGTGTTCTTCAGACTTTACCTGGCGTAGATCCTCAAAGTGAAGCAGTTAGAAATGCCATGGGTACTTTAACTCAAGGGGAAAGTAATAAAAAAAATCCTGCAAGTAATACAGGTCAAGAACAGCCTAGTAAAAAGAAAAAGGAGGATGATGATGAGAAAAAGGATAGTGGAAAAAAATGATTATGTATAAGTTAAAGATATCAAAATGAATTAATTGTAAAAAAAAATTATATATAAATTCTGAGTGGTGCTTTAAAAATTAGTGGTGTTTAACAAAATGTTCAGTAAAATATCTATTAAGTTACATACAAGCTGTTTCAAATAACTTATTCAGTTTTTGTTGAATTTATATTTGATATATTTTCAAGTAAAAGCTTAAATTTTTTAAAAATAAATTTTAGAATAAACAATATTTTAATTATATTTATAGTTTATGAAAGCTAAAAAATGTTTCATTAAGTTACTGAAAAATATTCATTAAAACTTAATTAGTTATTCTAAATAATAATTAAAACTTTTACAGTTCAACCAATTTAAAATATTGATAATTTAAAAATGACTATCCTGGTTTAAGTACAATAAAAGCTGAATCAAGTTATATGAAACTTTTTCATAAGTTCAGGTTTAAAAATTTCATCTTTAGAATTTCATTGTTGAAAGTTTTAATTCAGTAATTTCAATTGGAATGGATTGGATCTGTGTTCTGTTTATTCATTTGGAAATAATTGTTTTCAAAAAGTTCTACAAATGATTATAGAAGTAACCATAATATCTGATGTATGTGAGGATTTCAGAATAAAATATCAATCATTTAAATTAACTATTTTGTGTTGAAATATTTGTACAATAAAATTCTACTTACAGTAGAATTATCTATCCACCACTTTTCCAGGAAATAATTCACTTCAGTTTCACCAAACCTACAGTAGAATATTTTCTATCTTAATATGAACAATGAGACATTTTTCAGTTTTTTGAAATATTTACTGGTACAAACAACATATACAAAGATTCTTTAAATTAAACTTAAGTTTATTACGTAAATGAAAATGATTAATTTCTAGATATTCCAATTAAATTCAGATATATTACTTATAATAATAATTTCTATTTTTGAATATAAAAAATATAATTTCCAAATATATTTGATATAACTTCTTGTAACTATAAACTTTGCCCTGTGTCAGTTTTGTGTTTTAAGCATAGTATCCCTTATACAGGATGAACATAAGGTCTCTATACATTTCTGTGAAAATGCAAATTTATTAAATATCTACCACATACACTGAAACATGTATCACATTAGGACCACAAATCAGTACATCTCTAAGTGATTGCCCTCCAAGTCTAGGCACAGCCACCAGCATTCTTCCACAGACTGAAACATGCTGTTCAACATAGCTGGTGAAATTTTCACTGCTGCGTCTGTAATTCGTTTGAACTGTGGTATGCTGTTAATTTTCACCTGGTACACCTGCGACTTGATAAACCCCCACACAAAGAAATCTAAGGGTGTCAGGTCTGGTGAGCAAAGGGCCCACAGCCTTTGTGAACCACGACCAATTTATCTAATGGGGGAATGTTTTATTCAGGTAATCGCGTGCATCCAATGCAAAAAGGGGTGGTGCCCCATCCTGCTGGAAAACAACCGAGTCCTTAATCCCATCTTGTACCAACTGTGGCTCCAAAAATTATTCCAACATGTTGCGGTATGTGTGTCCGGTAACTGTTGTCTCTGCAAACATAAACAGTCCATAGACCCTGGTCTTCGTGATCCCTACCACACATTCACTTTTGGGGTATCTCGTTGCAACTCTCACTGCATTAGGTTGTTCGTTTGCCCAGATTCTGCAGTTGTGTCTATTCACATGTCCACAGATGTGGAATGTTGCTTCATCACTGAACAACATGTGACATGAGATTCTCGTTTTCCACAGCATGTAACAGTCATGGCACATAGCCTGTCGGGCGGCATATTCCTCTAGTTCCAGTTTATGAATAATCTGGACGTGGTAAGCACGTTTCTTCAAGCTGTATCGCAAGGTTTTCATTGTGGATTGTGAGATACCCAGCTCCCAGTCTCCTGGTAGACGCAGAGGGGCTAAGTGTGATCACATCTTCTATGCATCCCACCGTTTCTGGCGTAAAGGACGGCCTCCCAGAACGTTCTTCATCATGAACACTACCCGTACGTTTAAATTTGTTAACCAAATTCTTTATTACCAATCTTGTAGGTACTGCCTTTGTAAATTTACGGGTGAAATCCTCCCTCACCTGTTCATAGGACATCCCATGCAAACGGGCAACAACAACGGCCGTTCGTTCTTCTACGGTGAGCATTCTGTTCGATCACCTGAAAGAAAAAAAGATTTATCAATTATTTAACAGAAATGTATAGAGACTTTATGTTCACTCTGTATAATGATTCATTATACCTCATTGCATTGAAACAATGATAAGCACTATGTAGAATTATGTACAGTTCAACTACAGTGTATGCTACTGTAAATATCAATACTAATTTTTATACATAATTTTCAATACGTTATAATTCTCAATATTTGTAATGTTGGACCATATTTGAGAGGAAAAAATATACTTTTGTAAATTTACTATTGCAAAACCTCTAAACATGCATAACATTTTAGTTTAACTTATTTGTTAGACTTGAAACCTAGGCATTCCAAAAGCAAAACATTTTTCCCCATTTCTGAAATGAAAATCAATTTTCAATGTTATCATTAGATGAAATTTTTAATAATAGTGCTGGTCTTATTATTATTTTATAATCTAAAAAGACAGTGGTTAGTCGAATTCTTATGGTATGATTTTATTAATGAAATCCATAAAAATATCGATACTTGAAGGATTTGTTTACTAAAATAATTTTATCATAGATGTTTGAAGTGTGCGAAATGATTTGTAGAAAAAACATTAAATTTGAGGTTTTTAAAACTGACTAAGAATTAAGAAATTTGATTATTTTGGCAAAAATTAATAAATGAAATCTTAAAATGTTGTATGCTCAAGCATAATGAGAACAAAAATAAATCGAAAGAATGAAGAAATTACGTAGATTTACTGAATTGCAGAGGAATAATAATTTATCTTTGGCTGTCTTGGATCACGTGGTTTATCATTACAAGCGTTTCTAATCCGAATTAGAATCTAAACGATTCTAATTATGAAAGAACCTGGATGCAAATATATACAAGAGTCATTCTAGTTCCGATTCCTTAGTTCAACCAGAGAGTCTATTGAGTAACTGTTTGCATTATTTTTCACCAACAACTCTTCATCTCCCTATGATCCGAATCCAATCTGAACTATAGAGAACTTGCATGAATGCCATCGCTCGGCCTCCTGCATCATATTTGTGCCATGCTGTTCATGGAGGTATATAGCCTATAGTTTGGCTTACGTCTAAATGTTTATGACGTTTAGGTGGCAAAACATGCATTTTACTTTCCCGGCTCCGTTATATATAACAGAGGGAAACTATGGGAGCATTTTTACATTTTTGGACTCGGAACCTTGAAACATCGAGAAATGCAAAAAGCATTTCAAGGGTTTTTTTCTTTATGTATGTTGTGTGTGTGGAGCAGGCACGATTTGTTCACCCAATTTCAGGCTTAATATTTCTCGTGACTTGTCGAAAATTTCTGAAATTTTGCAGGGAAGTTTGTATATTAGAGGGATCGATGCTATTAAATTTTGGTAGTTAAAGGTCGAAGGGATCGTGGATCATATTTCTTCCCGGATCGCGTGATTTTGCGACCGCATTTTGGTCACATAGCGTTTCACAGAATCCATATTTTTTCCTAAAATTTAAAATTATTGGCTTCGCTTCAAAAATTATTATTACATCTTTGTTTTCTTTATTTTCTGTACATTTAAAAAGTGTAAAATATTTTTATATTGACAAAAATGCTTTATTTGCATCGAATTTAATGTAATTTGATAGGAAAAACGCAAAAAATAAACATATCAAATTTCAACTCGCTGTAATTTATCTCCTATTTCACCGATTGCCATCAGGGTTTTTTGTAAATGGGGAAGAAATATGACACTTTCAAGTGAAGTGAGTAGAAATTTCACACTACTGCCAGAAAATTTGTCAACAGACCCCGCATTACACCCTACCACGAAAGTCAATAAACGTTGTTTTATGACTCTATTTCAAGCACTTCTTTCTGAGTTGTAAATCGACTAATTGACAAAGGTTTTACTTCATTTTACTCATATTTCAATATTTAACAGATAGTTTTGTTAGATCTTTACATATTAATTTTATTTTTAATTTTTAATGTGATATAGTCCTGTGTTAAACTTAAATCGATCACCTAATATAAAAATGGACATCGCTCAAAATATTATAGAATCCATCAAAATTCTTAGCTGATAGTTTAGGTATAAATGTTTTCTGTGCATGAAATGAAGCAATCAAAAAAATAATGAGTGGACCATCAAAAATTCCGCAATTTACATGATGTCGAATGCGTAATTTTTTTTATAACTGAAAATATTCTCGAAATTTCATTAAAAAAAATGCATTTGCAACAATATCTAAATGAAATTGTTATGCAAGAAACAAAAATTGTACAATTAGCGCAATTTGTTTTAGTGTAATTAATTTTGAAAATTTTTGTCGCTGTTATTTCTCGAGGATCACAACGCGATTTCTCGCAAAGTATATTGAGACTTCGCTGAGTGTAATAAGAAATTGCGATATCTCGCTTCAAAATCGGGCTAAAATCGATTTTTTTCTTGAAATACTTGAAAAGTATTTGAAAAAGTTTTTTTTTTAATAAAATGTGTTCCCCGATTCGAGTACGGAGCGTGGTTAGTGCTTATCAAAATTCTATATGATATTAAACTTGATTTTTCACATTTGAAGCTATTTATTTGTGACATCTCACTTTTAGGTAATTTGTTACTGGCATTTTGGGTGTTGTGCAAAAAAGTATTTCAAATCCTAAAGAGAATTTTGAAAATGAACGCCGTTTTAGTTTATAAAATATACATCAATTCATCATCATCTGAAATCCACAATAAGTATAAAAATCCAAGAAAAATAAGCATTGTATTCGTATTTCATATTTTCTTTTTCTTAAGAAGAATAAAATAAAAAATAAAAAATTCAGCAATGAGAATTGTCTAACTTTTCTGGCTGTTAGAGTTTTTATTGAAGAAAATTAAATTTTTATACTATTAAGCAAAATAAATA